CATTGTGTCACAAAAAGCTTGAAGAAGATGATATTGCAAAATTTAAATATGCTGTCATTAATGATTTTTACTTTCAGATATACTATGATGATCTACCATTTTGGGGGTTTGTTGGAAAAATTGAAGATAACAGTTGGACACTTGAGGACAAGTCACCCAAGTATTTTCTGTTCCAACATGTACAGTTTGAAGTGCTTTATAATGGAAACCAAATTATTGAAGTACATGCAATTGGTGATCCAAATCAGGTTGTTGATATTACAAAAGATGCTGTGATTGATGTTGAGTTCACTTATTCAGTCACCTGGAATACAACGTCAGCTACCTTTGATACCAGAATGGATAGATATTCAAAGGCTTCATCCCTCCCAGCCCACCAGAAAATTCATTGGTTTTCGTTCATCAACTCATTTATCACTATTATGCTATTGATAGGATTACTTGAGAACATAATTTGCCTTGTGTTATTGTTGACCCTGTCAACTTGTTTCAAACCTATAGTATTTCTTTTTTATGCTTTGAGGCTAAGGTTCAATGCATGAATAGCAGGTTTTCAAGTGGAGATGAAGGAGAAGAAGACAAGGAGGTTGGTTGGAAATATATTCATGGTGATGTGTTTAGGTATCCTCGAAATAAGTCCTTGTTTTGTGCTGTCATAGGCATGGGTACTCAACTATTAACCTTGTAAGCTACTCACTATTTTTCTCCTAAATGTTTGATATCTTGTTCGGATTTACTAATTACTAGCCGACATCTGATAAGTACAACAAGAATAATAAACAAAGTCTTCTCCACTTCGTGGGGTTGGCAGTTGGCTAATGGCACACTAATGGTATGATAATTGATACATGCATGAGAATCAACTGCCTTTTGCTCGTTAATGGCATAATTAAACTGAACCTTGTTCAACTTCATATTCTTATTTTTACTCTTTTGCATTTTTCCAGTTGCCTTCTGTTTCAACAACTTATTTATGCTTTCATATTGGACGCGTTCACCATGGAGTCAGTATTACATATTTATGATACTTCAAAATAATTGCCATTGTAGGATGTAGTTTTCAAATCAAATTAGATTCAAAAGCTCTATTTTTCTTGATTTTCGTGGTTTTATGCTATGGTTACTTACTCTAAATATGAAAATTTAATATTTCTTCTTAACATTGTTGTGTTTCCTTCCAGAGTCTTCTGCTTATTTGTGTTGGTATGCCTTGGTATCCTCATTCCATACAATCGTGGAACACTCTGCACTGCGCTTGTCATTTTATATTCTCTGACATCTGTAGTTGCTGGTTACACTACAGCGTCCTTCCACCGTCAATTTGCTGAAACTGGTTGGGTAATGTTTCTAATTTAATTTAATGTCGCACACACTGAAGGAACATTTTTGCTTGTTTGTTAAATAAATGAGAGTCAATTTTCAGGAAAGGAGTGTCCTCCTGGCTGGAATCATGTTTGCTGGTCCCCTGTTTGTGATAGGTTCCATCCTTAATGTGGTTTCTGTATCTTATGGGGAAACAGCTGCACTCCCTTTCAGCACCATCATGGTTATTATTCTCATATACATTTTTCTCACCATTCCATTGCTTGTGTTGGGTGGGGTGGTTGGATACCTCTTTAGGTCTGAATTTCAGTCACCTTGTGCTACAAAAAGATACCCCAGGGAGATTCCTCCATTGGCTTGGTACTGGAAAACTCCTTGTCAGATGTTTCTTGGGGGTTTCTTACCTTTTAGTGCTATTGTCCTCGAGTTACAACATTTATATGCGAGCTTGTGGGGATACCAGATATTCACTCTTCCCTGCATTTTGTTTATCATGTTCATTATCCTCATCTTGCTCACTGCGATATTAAGTGCTGGTTTAACGTATATTCAGCTATCCGTGGAAGATCATCAATGGTGGTGGAGGTATGTTCCCTTGCAATTTTATATACACGGATGTTAATGTTCATGAATATGCACAATGAACCATGGACATGTAAATGAAGGTTGCTATTTAGGCTTCTTTACTTTGTATATGTAAGAACCTTCATGGTAATATGAAATCTCACAGATCAAGATGTTGATATGCAATTTTTTATTGCTGCCTACCGTCACATATTTAGGACCTATGACACTTCATGCTTTCCTGAAATACCTGTGTCTGAGACATACTCTAACATGGATCTGATAATATGATATTCTAAGGATCCTCCAAATCACGAAAACCTTGGGTCCAAAAGATGAGGGTTTTTTATGAATAACAAATAATTCCGTTTATTGTTCTAAGTAATGCTTTGTTTATCCTAATTCCCCCTGCATTGTCATAACATTTTGAACACTTGGGATGTTTTTGCTTGATGCAGATCTGCGTTGTGTGGGGGCTCAACCTCTGTTTTTATGTTTGCTTATTTTATCTACTTCTACGCGAGGTCAAGCATGACTGGCTTATTGCAATTTTTCATTCGTTATCGGCTACAATGCCTGCATGTGCTATGCATTTTTCTTGATGCTTGGCACGGTAGGCTTCCATTCTTCCCTGATGTTCGTTCGATACATTCACCGAGCTGTTAAGAGTGAATGACTCTGCCTCTTCATGTTCATGGTAATGGCTTTCTGCCGTCACTGCAAACCCCTTATCTCGCCAACCATTTTATTAAAAATCAAGAAAGAAGGGAAGACACGGAAAGAATGTGGTATGGAAAAAAATCATGTTTGGCATGAGAGAAAATCAGAGTTATCTTTTGATGCAAATTTCCTTCTTTTCTTCAAGGTAAGAAGTTTGCAGTTGTTAGGAAAACATTTGTGTACACTATCCACAGGTATGCCCCTTTAATGGAAAGCAAGCATGTTCCATTCTTCTTGTAAACTAGATCAAACTTGGAAATTTATTCTGTAAAAAGTTTGCACTTTTTGTTTTGATTTTGTTCATTTTCTATAATTAAAATTAAAAAAATATATTTCGATAATCATTTAAGTTATCGGTTTATTATAATTTTTATAATTTGACTATTGAGTCACACTCATCTCAATTAACATGTCACATTAAAAATTATTAATTTTTAATTAAAAATGATTAATTTATAATTTGATAAAATAATGATTTAATCATGCTTTTTTATTTTTCTTAATTAATTTTATTAATGGTTGGTGTTGATATTTTGACTAACTTAATATTTTATGTAAGGTTTTAAATTGATATTTTGTCTAAAGTTCATGAGTTAAATTAAAAATTAATTATTATTATTATTATACGTTAATTGGATAATATAAGTTGAGTCGTAACAAATCAATAACGTAAGTAATCGAAACACACACACATATATATATATATATATATATATTTAAATTTTGATGATCGTTGAACAAAATTAAAATAAGAAATGATCGAACTTGTAATTTACCCTAAAAATTAACATGAAGATGAATAACAAAGCATCAAAAAATAAAGAAATAGTATCTTCGTATGCCAAATATATATGAAAATTAATAAAGAAATTTTAGAGGTCAAATGTAGAAGAAAATATATGAAGTGAGTTTTGAGTATGTCTCAAGGACAAAACTCAAGCATATATTTTGTGAAGACGATTTTCCACCTCAAAAAAGTAATGTAAAAATCCAATACACCAACCCCATTGGAGGGCCCTATGCATTATTATTAGTATTCATTGTCCACCACCTTTCACCCTTCTCTAAGCCTTAAATCACAAGAATAAATCTTCCCTCAAACCCTCTCAAAGCCACACAATTGTAAGACTCTAAGCTTTAATGAGACGTTTGTATATCGAAAACCATAGAAACCCATCCTTTGGTGACGTGCACTTCAATTCTCCCACACCCATATTTTTATGCACCCTAAGCCATCCCCTTATATTATATATAACCCTTTCGAAAATCTCCCATATTTGCACACTATCACCATCATCTTCATCAAGGTGAAAGTGCAACCACAACTACATCAACAACATGTCTAGTATTAGTTTCAGCTCCCAGAATCATAAGCCGTCGTCAAAACCGGTTGTCGTCCGTCGTGTTTCAACTTTGTCCATCAACTCCAACAATATGCATGGTTTAGGACATGAAAATGCCATGTCCTATAGTTGCAGTTCAGCTTTGGCTCCTATAGGGCATTGCAGTGATGGAAAGAGAAGGATCCGGGACGTGAAAGGCTTAAAAGACACAGAGAAGAGGTTGCAGGTAGAGTTTCCATACCTGATAAATGGGGTAAAGAAGATTTGCTCAAAGACTGGATGGATTTTTCTTCGTTTGATTCATTGTTAGCTCCCACTGGACTTGCTTCTGCTCGTAAAGCGCTTATGCTGAGGGAAGAAGACGTAGTTCGCAACGATTGATGAGGATCGGGAGTATGTGTTGAACAATTATATTTCATGTTGATTTTTTAATATTACTGTGGCAACAACTTTTATCTGTTTCGGTTCATTAAATCTGTAAATCTCAAGAACTAGCCACTGTTATTAGGTACAAATATAAAGCAGATCTGATAAAATGTTTATGCAGTTTTCAACATTTGCACTCTATCAATCCATTAATGCTGAGATCTGACTATTGAGTGAGCCATATTTGTCTCTCTAGCTTGTAAATCCTGCTTATTTTTACATGTACGCAGTATATATGTATGTATGTATATGCGTTTCGATTAAGATACTGATAAAGAAGAAAATCTCTGACATCTCTAGCTCCTAACAAAGTTTTCTCAAAAATCAAGATCCAAGTGAATCATGATTACAGTAGCTTCCAGGATATATAATTGGAGCCATGTTTTATTCAGGCAATACTATAGATATATAAATACCAAACATCAGATTATTAAAAAAAAAAAACTTGCAGCAGTTTGATCTATTTTCTTTGTCTTTAAACTGGTCTACTGAAGGCAGACAAAGTTTCTTTCAGTATATACACTTGGATTTTCTATATTGGATGTATAAGCCCCTTTGTTCTTCGGTCTCACCACCATTGATCTTGATGAGCATTAAACCTCTATATATGCAGTCTTGTAATTTCTAAACACTGCTTTGCCTTTTTTCTTCAATCCCTTTTCTTTCCTGTACATCCAGTAGAAGAAATCAATTCAATTCTCAAACATCCTACTAAAAAGAAAGATGCATATTTTCTCCCTATCAATGCAAGAAGAAATATTAGGTCTCTCACCGGGGAAAGTAATTTCTTCAAATGTGCATTCTCATTTCTCAAATGCTCCACTTTTTCTTCCAGAAACCTTGTACGCTCCTATAAAATAAGGAATGAAGATCATAGCCTCACTATATCGAAAAATAACTACAAATTCTAAAAAAAAATAGAATGAACTGATGCAATAGTTTTCAATTTGCGTGCATGCAGTCTTGGCTCGAGATTTAGCGTTAAGAAACAAGATAATAAAGGAATTGTGTATGTTGGATTTCGAATTCCGAAACAGCAATCAATTTAGTTCCGGGATCGGTTCTAGTACTATCTATATATGTATGTATACCTGAGTCTTTGCTCGAGATTTTGCTGCTGAAATTCTGTTTCTGATCTTATTCATTTTCTTCCTTTGCTGAGCCTCTCCAATGGCTTCTTGCATTCTGTTTCTCCCTTTAATGTTAAAAAGTAAACCGGACCATTGAAGACCACTTCCTGATGGTGCATGTGCAGGCAAAACCTGCATTTGAGGTCTATAAGGGAACCCTAGTGGATTCACCAAACACACTCCAATGCTCATCATATTATTCTGATCATTTAAGAAAGAAGAAGATCCAGTTTCAACATCTCTCATAACACCATGATTGTTCTGCTGGTATAGTTCCATTGTTGCACGTTGTAGTAGGAATTTGCTGCTGTCCTGCAGCTGTTCATCTTCTGGATTTTTAGATTTGAAATCATTAATTAACAGAGACGTTATTTCATCAGAATCTGGTGATCCAGCAAGTATATTAGCCCAATCTAATGAATTATCACCCATTATTCTCCCTTAATCACCAAAATTATCAAGAAAGCCTTTTTTTGCCCTTTTTAATCAGATAACTTCAGGCAGATTTCATTTGCAAATACCTACAACATAGAGAAGGAAGGTTAAACTTACATGAACATATTCTTGCAGAAGCTAAAGAGCTGAAAACGGCACTGATACAAGTGTGTGTGTATATATATATATACACACATGTACAAAGATGTATATAGATGATATTATGCGCAGGAGGAAAATAAAAGGACGTTAAGAGCAACACTGTCTACAACTAAAGTTGCAGGCCCTATTTATTAAGGAATCAACAAAGATATAAGAAAATCGCAGAGCACCAAGGTTAGGTTGCCAAATGTAAAAGAGAATCTGGTTTTTATCACATTAAATGATGGTAATCGTCTATGTTGCACTAATACGGGGACGAGGACGGAAAACAGTTATTCTTAAAATTATAGGGGTACGGGGACGGCAAAGTACGGCATATAATAAAAATTAAATTATAAATAAATATAAAAATCATAAATAAAATTAATATTTCACATAAAATTAGAAAATAAAATCCATAAGTAAATGTTAGAAAATAAAATTCATAAAGTCGATATTTCATAGAAAATTTGAAACCCTAAGGAATTTGGCCTAAATGTCTAAATTATTTATGTGACCAAATTATAATTATTGTAAAGCATATGATAGTCACATGCCATCTCCGAAACATCCCCAGATAAGCATCGAAACGTCCTCAAATTTATTCAGCCATACCCCACCACGTGACTCATCCCAATACATACCCGTGCTGTTCCCATGTCAGGGACGTATCGGGTACTGAAATGTGGGAAGTTGTGTCATCCTCGTGCTTCATAGGTAATCATTCTTAGTAAATTACAGGTGGTAGGCAATGTCCCATTTTATTTTACTATCTTGTACTTAAGTAGGGAATGAAATAGGTGGTACGTAGTTTTTTTTGTTTGTATAATCACTGATATTCATATCTGATTTATTGATCAACTAATTCGTATTAGATACTGTAAGACAAGGGCAATCATCCTAACTCAATTGCTCCATTAATAGATGTCAGGGTTTAAACTATTAACATTTCTTAAAGGATCTAATGTCTTATCTTACTAAACCGGATTGCTGAATAAATACGATTCATTAATCAACAAGATTAAAGATAAATTTTATGCATCATTATAAATAAAAGATATAACTTTCATTATATTAAATGATGGCATTTTGATAAAATATTAAAATTAATTAATCTTATTTTAGTAAATGGTTGATTTGGTGAAATTAAGATGTATAACAAATTTAAAGTGAAAGAAAATATTTAATTCATGAGTCATGGCCATGACCGTGACCAATGAACGTGCATGTTAATCGTAAAAGACCAGTCATAAAAATACTTGTTTGGGCTGAAACAATCTATTACTAATCTAAGCCGGGTTCAACTCCTGGAAACCAAGACTGGGCCCAAATAAATTTGGGCTAGACTGCCACTGGCTATTATCATTTTTATTACTCCAATATACATATCCCCAAAATCCAGGAGCGGCTAGGGTTTTTCTTCTCTGGTAGGCGATAGCTATTCACTTCTCTTTTCCGCTAAACCCTTGCTTATTTTGACTGCCATTCACTTGTGGATCTAACATTTCGATAACTTGGTGACGCTATTTTGCAGGTAAAATTTCGTAGTTCTGTTCGTGGAAAGGACTGGGATTCAGAGATGAGGTAATTTTAATGTTGCTAATGTTTATTTATATGCTGGACCCGGATTAGAAGCTTTTGCATTTTTTCTTTATAGGATAATCTTGATGTTATTTTTATCTGTGGAAGGATTCGTTACCGATTCAGAGATGAGGATATTATAATTTTTCTAACTATTCTTGATTTACTGGATCGAAGAAGAGTTTGGATCCTTCTTTTTGTTTTACGGGATAATCTGTTTGGTACTTTCATCTGTGAAATATTTGGAATTGGCGTTGTTATTAGTTGTACTTTGTTTCTACTCATTTTGGACGCTCAATATTTGTTCTCTTTGTTAAGATTGGTTTTGTGACAATTTTATTTGTCGTAAAATTTGAGCTTAGACTGAATTTTAAGCTGTAAATTTTGGATCACATTATTTGTTAGGGGACCTATCGCCATTCCTGGATTTGGTAGTTTAGTTCAAAGCATTTGCTTGATCTATATACTGTTTTGGGGTATTCATTTTGAGATTGTGAGCTGTTTGTGTTGCCCGCATTAATATTTTGTCATACTAATTTTTGAATATTTTGTTATCTAGTTGTTTATGGTTTTTTTAAAAGGATTTCGGTTTTCTTATTTACAGTAAGCTTCAGAGTGATGCCCTTAGAGAAGCTATTTCAGCAATTGTAGCTCAGTCCAAGGAGAAACAACGCAAATTTACTGAGACTATTGAACTCCAGATTGGTCTGAAAAACTATGATCCTCAAAAGGACAAGCGTTTCAGTGGATCTGTGAAGTTGCCACACATTCCACGACCTAAGATGAAGATTTGCATGCTTGGAGATGCTCAACACGTTGAAGAGGTGATTTTTTAGCTTTCTTTGGTTAAATTTTATTTGTTTATGTTTCTTAAGATATTTTTTGTGGAATCAGGCATAAGATGTGCATTATGCTTAGAATATACTTGTAATATTTGAACGGTCATTTTTGCAATGAACTTTTGTTTTTCATGGTTTAATTTTTAATTCAGGCCGAGAAGATTGGTTTGGATTATATGGATGTAGAAGCATTGAAGAAACTAAACAAGAATAAGAAACTGGTGAAGAAGCTTGCCAAGAAGTATCATGCCTTTTTGGCTTCTGAATCTGTCATCAAGCAAATCCCTCGTCTTTTGGGTCCCGGTCTCAACAAAGCTGGCAAGTAACATATAGGAGTGTTGTAATTGACCTGTTTTCAGCAATATTTGTATTGCACTCGTAGGGCTTTTGCGGGAAGTCCAAAGTTTTACTTGTGCGTTTGTCAGTTATGGTTTATGAATTTTGATCTTACATTTCGCAAAAACGCAGGGAAATTCCCAACCCTCGTTACTCACCAGGAGTCCCTAGAGTCCAAGGTGAATGAGACCAAGGCAATGGTTAAGTTCCAGCTGAAGAAGGTTCTGTGCATGGGCGTTGCGGTTGGGAATGTTGCTATGGATGAGAAGCAGATATTCCAAAATGTGCAAATGAGTGTCAATTTCCTTGTTTCTTTATTGAAGAAAAACTGGCAGAATGTGAGTTTTCTTATCTTTGGTGTTTGTTCAGGTTGCTTGCTTCGTGATCTTATATATAGTGTGTATACATGGGATTTCGACATTATTTTGATTGTGTTACTGATTGAATTTGAACTCATTGCAGGTGAGGTGCCTCTACCTGAAGAGCTCCATGGGCCCTTCGAACCGAATCTTTTGAATTGCTTCTGTTATGTACGGAGTGAAAGTGTGGGATTAAATTAATCACTGTTTTTTTTTTTTAAAAACTTAATGTTTTGTTTTGTTATTGGCATCCCTAGAAATGTTATGAATTTGAGACATTTGAAGTTTTGATTTGCCTCTCAACTATTTTTCCATTAATGTTAAATCATCATCATTTTAATATTCTCGTGGCCTAAAGGGAAAATATCCATTGGAATATGGCCGTTGGTTCTTGCAAATTAGGACGTTGTTGAATCATTCTGGTTACAATTGGCTTTTGATAAACACTCTTGTATACAAGGTCCTGTGATTCTGGGACACAAAATAACTCGTGTGTAGTCGATGACTTTATATGTTAGAAATCATTTTCTTTTCTGTTTATCAGAATTTCCCTATATTTTACAAATAAATGTTTAACCAATACATTGAGGGTGCGTTTGGTTCACGGAATGTAAGATTACCAATGGGAATAAGATTATCGGCGGGAATAAGATTACTAGGAATGTTGTATTTTGTGTTTGGATTGTTTAGCAGGAATGTAAGATTACATTGTTTGGTTAAAGAATAAAAGATTATTGAGTATATATTTTACCAAATTGTCTTTATTATATATTTATTTTTTTAACAAATTGAATTCTACTATAATTAATTTATATATTTTCTTTAAAAAATTTAGGTTCATAAAATTTATATAATTTTTTTTACAAAATTGAAAAGATAAATTGGTTTAATGAAATGGTAAAATTTTATTTTAATCCCTGAATTTCATATAAAATTTTAATTATGGACTTTTTTGTAAATCTAAAATAGTTTAAGGATAAATTTGTAATTTAACATTCGTAGAATTTTTTTATTCAACGATAGAAGAAGAATATTCTTGAAAAAAAAATTAAGAGCATTCTAGTTCAAAACATCGATAATCCAACAATACTAAGAGAATGGAGTAATCACATTCCCGGTATATACCCCTAAAATATAACTGTTGCGAATAAAGATTACCGGGGGCTAAGAATGTTTGTCAACCAAACGAAGGAATGACATTTCATTCCTCCGATAATGTGAGATGACTTGAACCAAACACGCACCGAATGAAATCTTAGTCCGTAGTTCATACAAAGACACGTAAGGGTACTGGAGGATGGACTATACAATGTCAAAGCCCAAAATTACATTTTTTAGGAGACAGATGATCAGCCTAATCAAGAAGAAGCAATTTCGTGGTGGCTTTATAATCTCTGGCCGGTTTTGGTCGCTGTTGAAGGAGGAAGAAAACATACATTAGGACTCGAAAGGAAATTTTGTCCCTCTTCCTCATCTTCCTCTGCTTGCTCATTATTTTATCGTTTTCCTTGTAATCCATTTCCAGGATACGATATCCCCGATACGATTGTAAATTGTGATGCTGGGCACGTCGGTATCGTAAATTGTGATGCTGGGCACATCTCCCTGATGACGTGAGCATCGCCTTCATCCACTACGTACAATGTTCACCATGAAAGAGCTTTGAGTGGTAAGTATTCATCCACAACGTACAATGCTCACCATGAAAGAGCTTTGAGTGGTAAGTATTTCTGGTAAATCACTGATCCAATGTGTGATGCACTGATGCCATTGCTAGGAGCAGAGCAGTATCTTGAATTGAGTAGTACATGCCTTGAATCAGCTTGGTACTGACTTTATGTATTAGCTGCAGTATGATAAGAGAAAAAAAGGCTATTGAAATGTCAAAAGATTGGAATTTTGATACCAGACGATTAGCAACACTTCACATTCATGGGGTTATTTTTTATCAGTTTTATTCATCATCTCAAGTATGAATGAGTAAATGTGGGAGAGATTTGTTTTCACATTGTCCAAGACACTTATAGATTTATTTATATCCTAAAAATGTTAGAAATGTTGGGTGTCTTAAATGATGATCAAAGTGAGAGAAGAATCTAGTAGATCGCTTACCAAAGGTTAAAGTCGGAAGTTAGTTCTTGATTCGTTAAGAGATGGTTTAAAGCCCATTGATATAAGAATTCATAGTGGATACCCAACTTAGTTATCTAAGTTCAATATGGTCAAACAAAGTCATGAAAGACTCATAGTATATATTTATACCTACATATCCGTATGACGGATGATGTACATGCACAGAATGAGCTTAATTGCTCTTAATAAATTCATAGCTCAAACTTTCGGCGGTCTTAGTGAGAAAGACTTGATGGATTTATCATTCTTGGTTGAATATCTATTATTAATAAGTTCATAACTCAGTGTTGATTGGGTAGTCCTAATCGTAAAGAAGTAAATGAACTTATCGCCAAAGATTATGAGTTTTCTCAAAACTCTTAATTCATACCCAAGATTTTAGGACTAGTTAGAATGACATATTGAATTCATCGATTAATGAGATTAAATATTTATTTTTAATGATTTTTTATTCTAGAGTTTGGGTGGTTCATTTAATATGAACTTGACAAAATTCACCTTACCTATTGTGATGATGATCTGTTGTAAAACTCTTAATTATTTCATAGCACAGTTTTGGGTGGTTTATATTGAGATAAACCTGATGAAAAAACTACGTAAGTGAGAAGGATTAGCCACCTCCTATGAAAAATGTTGGTCATTTTCTAGTACACTTACTAGAATATTGAGGAAAGAATGTTATATGTATATATACACACACATTTGTATATATGTTTTTGTTGACACATCTTTCGGAACAATCTTTAAGTTTTTTAGGCTCATTCGGGGATCAATCTAACTTAAATATTGGGAAAGGTTGGGTCTCAAAATAAAACAAATAAATATTTTCGGAGTCGCCATCGACCTTTGAGTTAGTATGTCGAATACCTAAAATATATTTTAAAATAATTTTAAGAAATATAATTTTAAAAGATAAAAAATTATATGCGTTTAACCATAAATTCATTTTGAAAAGGGTTGGGAGTCTATTACGTGTGGGAAAGGATTAGTACCCCCACAACGCCCGAAATTGGTACCTAAGCGATTATACGTCATCTAAATATTGAAACTGGCAAATTCGAATAACATTTAAATTATGATCATTTTTAGAAAAATATCAAGGGTATTATTTTGCACAAACAATTCACGAAAATACCTTCCTTGTCAGTTAAGGGTGCATTTTCATATATTCCCCATACAAAATAATATTGCCAAAAATATATATTAATTATATAAAAAACAAATTCATTCGAATATAAAAAAGTATTATTTTATTCGAACAATTCTTGAAACACACTCCTTGTCAGTTAAGGCGTGTTTCTATAAATTCCTCGAGTAAAATACTATTTGAAAATATTACAAATAGCAAGAAATTAACAAATATGTAAATAATGGATCAAGATAATAAAAAATAGGATTGTAGGGATTAAAGTACACAATCAACAATAAATAAAGGCAACCATTGCAAATATTTTACCATCTGAGCACTACAATCATAAATAAACCAAATTCAATCACTCGTGAACAAAATGGAATTCATTAAAATAAGGCATCGAATTAAAATAATCACAAAGATAAAATAATAAGCATAAAGGGACTAAAATAAAATAAAACGAAAAATAATAGCCAAATCATAATCATCAGTAACTAAAATGCATAAATTGAAGATATCATAACAGAATTATAATTAAATAATAAATATAACCCAAACAGTGGCTAAAATGAATAAAGATAAAAACCTGTGACAAAATTCAAATAAATCACAATAACAAAAATGACTAAATTGAAACAAGCACAAATTATAGTATAAAATTAAAGAAATAAAATAAGCAGGGGACTAGTAACCGAAATGAAAAAATACACATGAAATAGAGGGACCTGAAAGAAAATAAACCAAAAAGTTAGTGTTAAGAAATAAAAAGGTAAAATCACTAAATCATTCCCTAAGCATTTTTAAAAAAAATTAAATGGTCACTACACATGACCAAAATATAAAATACGCCTAAAAGTATAGGGACCAAAGAACAATTAAACCAAAAATATATAACATGAAGTAGAAATGGGTAAATCACAAAAAAGGTCCCTATAGGTGACCATTTTGTAAAAACAAGCCAAACTTAGGGGAACCTAAGTGTAATTTTCCCCTAAAGTTTTCTATAAATATCAATTTTTCTCTCTTTTTTTTTTTTAAATTATTTTTAGAAAATCGACGGGTCGTCGGCCACTCACATTCGTCTGTCATCTTATCGTCGTCGCGCCGTCATCATCGTCAGTGGTTGTTGGCCACCAAATTTTACCCAGAGATCCGTCTCGACCTCCCTGTCTCGGATATGGGCTATGTTTTGCCGTGGGATGCGTCGATCGTCGCGAAATAGTCGAAGATCATTCAGCTTTCCTCTCTTCGATCCACAACCGTCAGCCGTTGGATCGTCTCGATTCCGGAGTATGTTGGTCTTCTCGTCCTCGCACAGCTTCTCACTGTTGGGATCGGTGAAAACAGCCCCCGAACACCAATGATGCTCCGATCGATTGTAAGTGCTCCTCTATTTTTTCTCTTTATTTTTCTGCGTTAATTTTGCTTGGTTTCGAATGGAAATTGAAATGAGAGATAGCAATGATAGTTTTGTTCTATGTTAGGTTCGAAAAAAAAACTACTAGAAATTATTTTTATTACTTCCGAAAATGGAGGAGAGTCCCTCCATTACAATCTTGTTTTTTCCAATACCCCTTACATTGTTTTTGGAAAACCCGATAGCCCCTCTCGTTGTTACTGAAAAAATCGAGAGCCCTTTTTTCAAACCAAGACCCACCCTCCTAATTTTCGGGTTCCTCTCTCTGCTATCAAAACCGAAGACCCCTAATCATTTCTTTGTTGATATGCCTTCAAAAATACACCAATATTTATTATTTCTGGATGATATGGATCTGTAAAAGATAAAATAAAAATGCATATAGTAATAATAATAATAATAACAGGTCTGGACAAAAATGAGTGTCGACAAATGTCCTAGAAAGGTATAACAGTTGAAAAATATAATTTTGAGGGATGATAATCCTAACTGTGAACCTGTGACAAATATGTTAAACGATGTCGCTCAAGATTCAAGGAATCTTGGCCTTGGGAGAAGCATTTGTGAACTTTACCGGAGGCAATGTTACCGAGGGAAGTCTGGAAGACCCTATTAGGTGACACTCTTGATAGATAGGTAAATATTGTTGGACATTGGAATTATTAGAATGCATGAAAGTGAAACCTTTGTTGGAAACTGATACTCCAAAACATTTGGTGCACAAATTGCTTCCATACATGATATCTTTATTTATTGCTTTTTTTTTAATTTAATTCATAGTTAATCACCTCTTACAAGCATAGCTTCTCAACTAATTGGTGGGTGTTCTGATTGGTAATTACATCGGGTAAGATGCTTATTGTAAATAATATATCACTATATAGAAAAACATGAAAAGGTTCAAGTAATTTATATATACAAAAATGCATATAATAATCAGGTAGTTAAAAAATGTGTGTCTTCCATAATGGAACCCAGAATTCCGATTAGCTTCGGCTTAACAAAACATCAAATGGTTGCATTTGCCTTTGCCTGCCAACAAATGCCAAAAACCTATGGGCTAGGCCTTTTTTAGCAGATCAAAAAAAGCCTTTTCCTGCCAATAAATGCCAAAGGCCGAACCCCCCCCCCCCAGATATCAAAAGCCAAAGCCGCCGACTTCAAACTGAACCAACTTTCTCAATATATAAAACAAAGAGATCATTCGAAAACAATCACGATTATTAGGTTTCTAAGACTCAAAAACTTGGATCCCCTCATTTTCTCCGGTCACCCTGCTCCTTCTGTAAGCTCTCTTCTCTCTCTTTTCTTCTCTCCATTTCTCTTAGTATTTGCATGTGCATCTTTATCTCTACATAAAAGATCTTTTGTTTGTGATCCCTTTTATGGTCTGAATACTTGTTTCTGATATATGGGTCTTTGCTCTCTTTTTTTTGCTTGCCAATTCTAAGTTTGGGGTTTCTGATTGAATGGATTTTTCTGTTCTCATTTTTGTCATTGACATGTGATGGAATTATGAAATTGTTTTTCCTTTTATTGGCTACAATGAAATTTTTTCAATATTTGATTTGAAAATTTTTGAATCTTGAAACTCAAATAGAATAAAAGGTGAGTTTTTAGGACACATGAGAAAATTTAATAATTTCTGTGGGTTAAGTCATTAGTGCATCTTGGGATGCTTTCCAAGTTTATTTTGTCTGACATCTTAAATTCTTGTCTTTGTGCCTATTGACAACTCTTACAATGTGGTCCTTGATATCGACTTCTATGCTGCTCAAATGGATGCATAGGAAAACAAAATTGGGTTTATAAATTATATAAGTAGACCAAGCTTGTAATAACAGCTCTACTTTGATTTGTTTTCATTGCAATTCTGTTTATTCAATCTTCGTTCTAAAGATTCTTGGGTTTTGATCTTTCTATTATGTTAGAAGGATGGAGCAAATCAACATTGCATTGCATAAAAAAGATTGAAAGGGAAACCAAAAAGGACATGATTGAAGTTGATATATAATTATTTGAAAATATCAGAACTTGTAAAGATGATTGTGATGGATGAGGTTGTGCCCTACATAAATACTTATGTCTTGGCTCTTGTAGTATTGACCCTTACATGTGGGATTAAGTATTGTTGGTTCGGTTTTGGTCTTATTCTGAAGGTACACCTTAAACCTTTCATGTCCAATATGTTCTTTTTTTTAAGAATATTTTGTTAATTTGTTTGAAGTATGGAACCTCGAGTGAAGAGCGGTGAGCCGTTGGCAAGTCTCTTCTCATAGTGCTCCGGACATTAATTGTCTTGTTAATAATGAAATGGGTGATATGATTCCTTTTTCCATTAGAACATTAACAGGTTACAGGTTCAATCTTATTATATCAATAATTTTTACAGGTAGCAATAGATAACTTGCATGTCAAGAGATAAAAATATTATTTCGCCGAACTTTGTATATGCAGAGAGAATCTTAGAATGATTATAGTTCTTTTACCTTGAAAGTGATATTATGGCATCTTACCATCCCAGAATGGACAGTCTCAACATTAGCTCACTGGTCCCCTTCTGTATTTTTGCTTGTTATTGGTATTTGTTTAGATTTGTGTGTTGCCACCTTTTCGGCATTGACCGTAGCAGGGTCATCCTGCTTGACTCCTAGATGACTACTATGTCTGATTTATTTATTTATTTATAATAATATAGTCATGAGAAAAGTTTAAATATCTCACAAATATTTCTTTGATTCAGGAGTAAAGATGGCATCTTTGAGTCTCACCTCCCCTTACATTGTTAAAGTTGCAATTCGCAATCGATCTACAAGTGCCATTGTCAAAGCCCCAACATCTCTTGGATCTGTTAAGAGCATCTCTAAATCTTTTGGCTTGAAATGTTCCTCCAATTACAGAACCTCAATGGCAGTCTACAAGATTAAGCTTGTAGGACCGGACGGTGAGGAGAATGAGTTTGAAGCAGCCGATGATCAGTACATTTTGGATGCAGCTGAGGAAGCAGGAGTTGAATTGCCGTATTCTTGCAGGGCTGGAGCTTGCTGCACGTGTGTCGGGAAGATGGTTTCAGGTTCCGTGGATCAATCTGATGGTTCTTTCCTGGACGAAAAACAAATTGAGGATGGTTATGTGCTAACTTGTGTTTCGTACCCAACCTCGGACTGCGAGATTCACACCCACAAGGAAAATGAGCTCTACTAAGTGATTTGTGGTCTGAAATGAGTTGGTCTCAAGTTGCTGTCTGTGAACTCTTATCTAAATTTGCTGCCAATGAGGACAGATATCTATGTCCTTTATAACGTGTTTTTTTTTTTGGCTGAATTGTCATATCAGCTTAGAATTTCAATCATAATTGTGGATTGCCATGGTTGAAGATGGACCCCTGTCCTATGGAACTGCCAATACTTTCTCTAATAACAATAGCCATTTTTTTATATTAAAAAATTGAATGTATTTATTTAAAATCGAATGAAATACATGAAGTCCACAAGTTTAAGCGCCTCTCACAATTGAATTTCAATCTTAATTGTGTATTATCATGGTTGAAGGTAGGGGTGTGCAAATCTGGGTACCCGGATTTTTGGGTACCCGATTTCCGGGTACCCGGAACTTCCGGGTCAACGATTTTTCGGCCCGTGTCCCGACCCGGATGTTACGGGTACCCGGTAATCGGGTACCCGGATTTTGCGGGTACCCGGTAATCGGGTATCCGATACCCGGTTTTTAATTTTTAATTTTCAAATTATTAATTTAAAAAAATATATACACAAATTTAAATGTTCGAAACTTCGAATTACATACTCTAATATCCGAACATAAAATTTAAAAGTTCGAAATATAAAATATAATAATCCATAATATAAATAATTCATTATATTTTATATAATTATATATAAAAAATAAATAAAAAATAAAAACTAACCGGGTACTCGGGTAACCGGGTACCCGGAAAAACTATATTTTGTGACCCGGGCCCGACCCGGGAAATGTCGGGCTGGGTACCCGACCCGGCCGGGTAATTTTTTTTAGAGAATTACCCGGTTTTTTTATATCCGGGTCGGCGGGTCGGCGGGTCGGGTCAATCGGGTCGGGTAATTTTGCACACCCCTAGTTGAAGGTAGCTTGGGTTCCATTCTTAACTCACAAAAAGAATATCCATCTCGGGCTTATTCCAAAGGTGAAATGAATGAAACTTGCAAGGTTGAAGGTGACTGTCTTATCTCATCAAACCAACTGGTTGTGACACTTATGTGGATTTTCTTCACATATATAAATATTATGATTAATTATTTTATTTTATGTTTTTCTCATAATTACCTTTTAAGTTAATATATTGGACACATGTTTTTCACAAAAGATTCTTTAGATATTAAAATCAATTTTAAATATAATTTAAGCACCAAAAAAGTATATTAGCTCGAAAAAAATATTCAATCATTAGCATGAGCACGATTTATTGATTTTACAAATCTCCTATATTATACAAAATGAAAATTATTGAGTTTATAAAGAATGTATAAAGGTGGTATTGCATTTGTAATATGAACACTCTCGCAATTAAGTTTTACACGTAAACGCAACATTTCATAATATTTCTTTTTGTCACATTTAATAATATTATTTTGATTCATACCTTTTGATTTTTTAATTCAAATAAATCGTATGGTCGTGTTGCATCAAATTTATTCCATTTCGAGTAAATATAGTTTATTTATGAAATGTATTTTAAAATTAGGATAAATTATAACGGATGCCATTTTTATTTTATTTTTTCTTATTATGATCACTGAATTTTGAAAAATAGTATTTTAATTATTTACATTCTCGATTTTATATAATTTGATCGCATGTCATCAACTTTCCTTGCTTTTATAATGTGATAAGTTAAAAAATAAATTCTTATTTAACCCTTAAACTTTAGTTAAATGTCATTTTTTGTATGAACTTTTATTTCATCTATATTTTCAAATTCTTCAAAAAAATCGTATAAACTATTTTAATCTCAAAATTTATTTAAAGTCTCCCACCATCGGTCTCTACTCACCGCCATCATCAGTCATCACCGATATGAACTAAAGTACTTTGAAAAAATGGAGGAACATGGTTTTGAAATTAATGTGACTTCATAATAGATTTAGAGAGATTGGAGAGAGAAGTCAAAAGATTTTAGAAAAGATTTATAAAATTTATGATATTGTTTATGAAACGGATATTAAATTTGAGTTTAAGATATAAAAAATAATGAATAAAAAATAATAATCCAATAATAAATCTCTATCAACAGTGGCTAACGATGATGGCGAAAAGTAATAAACGATGGAAGACTAATTGAATTATGGGATTGAGAAGATTTTTAAGATTTATTTGAAGAGTATGAAAAATGAATAAAGTAAAAGTTCAGAACTAAATTAAATATTTTATTTAAAATTTAAATTAAAAAATTAATTATTTTAATACATTACACCATCAAAAATAATAATAGTTAACAGTTCACTGATTAAACTATAACAATTGATACGCTAAACGATCACAATGTTACTTTTCAAAATTGGACGACCCAAAATTAGAAGAAAACCAAAAAAGTGTCTTTTTTTTTCAGTTTACCCGTAGAAATAATATCCAATTTTATAAATAACCAGAACCAGTCACTCGGTGAAGATTTAATAAAATTTAAATTAAATAATTATTTTATTTATATTTTAAATTATAAAAATATTAGTCTCGATATATTTATATATTTTTTTTATACAATCTCATTGTTTTGGATCGATTTTTATCTTAAATCAATTTGTATAGAAATATATATAGGTTGGTGGAACAGAGCAAGCGGAGAGAGCGAGAGAGAGAATGCTCTGCATTTATAACGATAGGCAGAGGCAGAGAGAAAGGGAGAGAGCGTTTTGGTGGCGGATGAAACGCCGTTGCTGAAAGTGTTGGCTAAGATCCTTGTTCAATCCATCATTTATGGCTGTTTCTTCTTCTCTTCTCTTTACCTCGCTTTTGCTTCTTCTCACTTTCTCAGGTTCTTATTCTTCCTTCTCAAGTTCCAACTCTTTTCCCATTTTCATTCTTCATCTGCTTCAACAGAAATGGGAGCTTTTATTTACCCCAGGAATCTATCTTTGTTCTTTTGATTTTTAGTATTTGAGTTGAGGGTCATTTTCATTTTCTTTTCTAGAGGAATGAAAGCAGAGTTTCTCTTGTGTTTCATAATCATTTCATTTCAAAATCTTAATGCCTTTTAAAACTTCCATGCAAAATAAATCATATATTACTGTTTCTTCGATTATTATTTGAGCTAGCTATTTGCTTTTGTACAAGATATGATCATTTATGGTTGATCAATGTTTAGTATTCAATGCATGGTTGGATGGAATTTTCTTTTAAATTTGGAAAGTTAGTTTCAGTCATCTTCACTCTTTTTTTTTTCTTACTCATCTCTTCTGTTTCTTTCTGGGTTTTTTTTTATAAAAAAAATTAGGAACCTTTTGGATTCACATTTATTCTGTTATTTCCAGATTCATCAGTGCAAGTCATTGGGCTTGGAATTGGAATCAACTATGGCCAAATAGGAAACAATCTTCCATCTCCAATCCGAGTCTCATACCTCCTCAGATCCCTCAATATCAGCAGAGTTAAACTCTATGATGCAGATCCCAATGTTCTTGTTGCTTTCTCCAACACAAATGTTGATTTCATTATTGGATTAGGGAATGAGTTCCTTCAAAACATGACCGATCCAATCAAAGCTCAAAACTGGGTTCAACAGCGAGTTCAACCCTACCTTTCTAGGACCAGGATCACTTGCATCACTGTGGGGAATGAGGTCTTCAAATACAATGATCATCAGCAGTGGTCTAATCTCCTCCCAGCAATGCAAACAGTTTATAATACTCTTGCCGATCTTGGCCTCGATAAACAAGTATCTGTTACTACCGCACATTCGCTCGATATCTTAAGCGTGTCATTCCCTCCTTCAGCTGCGGCGTTTAGGCAAGATCTCGGGGAATATTTACACGGTATCTTGAACTTCCATGCTCAGGTCAAGTCGCCGTTCTTGATCAATGCGTATCCGTATTTCGCGTACAAGGATAACCCGAATGAGGTGCCATTAGACTATGTGCTCTTCCAACCTAATCAAGGGACAATGGATCCTTTTACCAATTTGAAATATGATAATATGTTGTATGCTCAAGTTGATGCTGTTTATTATGCAATAAAAGCAATGGGACATACGGATATTGAAGTCCGGGTTTCCGAGACAGGCTGGCCTTCCAAAGGGGATGAAAATGAAGTAGGGGCTACACCGGAGAATGCAGGATTGTATAATGGCAATCTGTTGAAAAGGATAGAACAGAGACAAGGTACACCGGCAAAACCGAATGTCCCGATTGACATATATGTTTTTGCTCTTTTCAATGAGAATCTAAAGTCTGGTCCAGCATCTGAGAGGAACTACGGTCTCTTCTATCCAGATGGTACGCCAGTTTATAACATCGGAGTTCAGGGTTATCTTCCAGAGTTGATATATTCATCACCTAGCATAAATAATGTAAGAAAATCATTCCTTAATTTGTCAATAACTCAAGCTAGTTATTTAAATAAAGACACGCCATTAATTCTCTTTAACTCTGAGCTTTTTCGCAGGAATTCTTATTCTGCAGTCTTCTGATCTTGGCTATGGCATGCTTAATCTTCTCTTGAAAATATGTCAATTCGGCTAGTTAGATTGGTATCCCTAAGGGAAAACAGTATTGCTGGAGATTCAAATTCCAGAGAAGAGGAAGTTTCAGGTGAGATATTCAATGCCTATTTAACTTTGCAGCATGCATTAATTAATAAGCTATCAAAGTTGTCAATCCCAATTTCTTTAGATATCAATGTGATCCATGTGCACCATGTGTAACATCTTCCATGCCGGATTAGTGATTAATTTGTAAAGTTTCAGCATTTGGTGATTTAAAGTAGAATGATGGAAAAGTTCAATGACTTATTTGAGTTATTTTGTGTGGGATTGAATTATAAAGAAGGAAGATTAGAATGACAAAATGGTCTTTTTTATAGCAATATACTTATTTGGGGTTAGTATTATATTAACCACGTGAAAGTATAGGAAATTAAAAAACAAGCTTCCAGAGTCCTCTTCTTCTTTTTTCTTCTTCATACGTGAGACCTAAGCTAAGGTAAGATTCTCTTGTTACTGAATTTCTTGATGAATTTATGGTTGATTCATGACCATTAGGCAATAGTTAAGCTTAAAGGAAGTTTAAATTGTTTTAAAACCTCTAGATGAGAAGTATATGAAGAATTAAAGAAAGGAAGTAGAAAAGTGAAATCTTAGATTAGAGTTCATAATAAGAATTGGAAGTGAGATTTGACTTGTCATCAAGTTAATTAAGGGATAGGAAGTGTTAGAATAGGAATTTGAACATGTTGCAAAACTAGTATAATTTTTGCAATTACATAGGAATGACTAGATTTGGAGTTAAAGAAGTGATTATGGAGTAGAAATAAGTTTAAGTATGTGTATTAAAGTTAGGAATATTAAAGGGAGTGAAATAGGAAGGTTTGAGCTGAAATAAGGTGATTTTTGAGCTCAAAATGGGATTTATGGGCTAGGGGAATCGGTACCCATTCAAGGAGAATCGATCCCCCCCTCAAACGAATATGAATTTCCAGAATGCTAGAGGGGAATCGATACCCTCATGGGGGAACCGATTCCCCCATAATAAAAAAAAAAGAAAAGAAAGAAGAGAGACTAAACTATCAATCCCTTAAATTGGTAGGCTATTAGAGGTTAATTTCAATACTTAGGCATCTGATAATCATCTTGAAAATTTTGCTTATGTGGATATTGAGCCTAATCGAGTTCCGGAACCATCGACAAGTAGGATCAATCGAGGGAAAGACAAAGAAATCTAGGTGAGTGCATATGTATAGCATGAATATGTATTTTATTCAGTTATAGACTTGTGATAAGTCTAGATTCAATATTTTGATACATGATTGTAGTTCATATGATGATATGGGACATGAATATGAAAGAAAAAGTTATATGAGTTATATGATAAAGGTATGTAAATAATATGTCTACGTGATATAAATTAGATAAATTGTGAAAGCCCATGTTATGTAAATGAGAACTATATGTATAGTTGGCATGCCAAGGGTAGAGGGTCTATGTGGTCCTTCGGGACATATATGTATTCTTTGGAACATGTGTGAGGTCTGGTGAGACACATACTTGATCCTTGGTATATGTATATGATTCTTAAGGAATGATATGTGGTCATTCGGGACATATATGTATTCTTTGGAACATGTGTGAGGTCTGGTGAGACACATACTTGATTCTTGGTATATGTATATGATTCTTAAGGAATGATATGTGGACCTTATGGACATTATTATATGGCACTACGGTGCAATTCTACGCGGCACGCCGGTGCAATTCTACGTGGCACTTAGGTGCAATTATATGAGCTGTGGTGACAGCATAGTGCACAACCTCACAATACTCACATACCTTAGGTTCTCTGTATGGTACCATGGGCTAATGAACTTACTAAGGCGAACTTATGAATGTGAATTTGATAAGTATATGTGTAAGAAACATGGTTTTGGTTATTGCATTGTTTACATACATCTTATTATTGCAACCCATCTCATTTTGGTAATTACTTTATATTATTGATATTATTATTATATTGCCTCACTAAGTCGATGACTTAGCGTGTGAGTGTTTCACACGTAGGATCCGATAAAGTAGACGATCGAGGTTAAGCAGCTGGACAACATTACTCCTGCAACTATCAGATCAGAAGCAACTTAATCAGTAGGTCATTTTGTTATGAAAATGGATGTTGGCATGTAATTAAAGAGTTAAGTTATGTATGCTTTGAATAATTGGTAAACTTATATTACCATATGTATATTATTGTATTTTTCGTAATATAAGTTCAGTATTTTATTAGTATTTGTAATGAGTTGTGTTTTAAAAGTCAATGTAATATCTCTGACTCGTATCCGGGTTGGATACGGGTTGGGGGTGTTATATTTAATGGTATCAGAGCTATGATTTAGTCGATTCTAGGCATAAACCAGAGTCTATAGAGTCTTTAAATGGAATACATGCCAACAAATAGTGAGAACTTCTGATCTGGTATAGTATGAATATGTTGTTTTGCTAATAGAACAATGTGTTTATTCTTATTAGATGTCCGGACATAATAGCTCCCGAAGTGAAGCGGGAGAAGATAGGTCTGCTGAAAGCAGTAATTCACCTGTGCTGGCCAGGCAAGGTGAAGAACATGCATCTCAAGGAGTACCTGTGCAAGATCAAGATATGTTCTTCAGAACGTTAGACACTATTCTAACGCGTCTTCAACCTCCTGCTCCACCAACTCAAAGGATGAATGTAGCAAAAGAGTTGAGAGGTTTAGGAGCTCCCGAATTTAAAGGAGAAACCGAAGAAGGTCCGGTTGCGGCAGATCTTTGGTTAAATGATTTAAAAATCATGTTGGATGGTCTCTACTGTTCTGAAGTGGAGAAGTTAGATGGAACTGTCTCGTTGTTGAGGGGTCAGGCGAGAATATGGTGGACGAACGTCACCATGAGGATGCTCAGTGACCAATTGACTTGGTCTTTATTCTTAGATGAATTTAAAATAAGTACATTGGAGATCAATTTATTCGATAGATGAAGCAGGGTTTTTGAATTTGAAACAGATAAACCGCTCTGTATATGAGTATGAATGTGAGTTCAACAAGTTGAGTAGGTTTGCATCCGAGCTTGTGCCTACTGAAAAAGAGGCTTGTGAATGGTTTGTGGAGGGTTTACGCCCTAGATTGAAAGAGATGCTGATAGTATTAAATTTTTCCTCGTTCCAAGAGGTGATCAATCGTGCCAAGGCTCTTGAAAGAGCTCAGAATGAGAGATTCGGGGATATTAGAGTTCAGACATCAAAGAGAACAGGTGCTTCTTCTAGCTCAGTACCATCAAAAAGGGGAAGAGACTTAGGATTTCGATCACAAGCTAGATCAGAATCAGTTGCATCGTCTGCTAGGGGAGAAAGTCAGGCAAGACCTAGACAGACGCAGTCAGTGGGATCTGGTGTTGGGAGATCTACTCCGAGTCAAGCGAGACAGTGTCAGCACTGTGGGAAAAACCATTCTGGGGCTTGTCGGATGGCTGCCGGGACTTGTTTTCGATACGGAGATGCCGGACATTTTATCCGGGATTGTCCATTGATGGTTGGTGAGCCTGCACCATCTGAAAGAGTTGGTTCTTCCTCACAAAGAGGACGAGGAAGAGGCAGAGGAAGAAACCCGTCTGAATTCTCTGCTCAACCTGAAGTTCGATCAACCGCACGGGTGTACAATCTAAAGACAAGTGAAGACCGTGATGACCCTGATATTATAGTAGGTACTTTTCAGTTGTACGATAAATTAGTTGGTACTGATTGATCCGGGTTCTAATTATTCTTATATTACAAGTAAGTTAGTAAAGGATTGAGGATTCCCTTAGAAGCTATGAGTAATGAGATTATAGTAACAACTCCGTTAGGCCATAGTGCTCGGGTGAATAAAGTCTGTAAGGGGTGTCCCATAAAGGTTCAGGGAATTGAATTCCCTGCTAATCTGATGGAATTACCCTTTGACGAGTTTAAAGTGATTCTGGGAATGGATTGGTTGTTCCGTTACTATGGAGATGTTAATTGCAGATTGAAAAAAATAACCCTGAAAAGTCCAAAAGAAACAGAGATAAGTGTGAGCAGTGAAAAGTTTAATCCCTTAGCAAATGTAATGTCAGTAATGTCAGCTAAGAAGCTATTGCTACAGGGATGTCAAGGATTTCTTGCAAATGTGATAGATTTAAGAGCTATAGAGAAAGGGCTAGAGGAGATTCCAATAGTTCAAGAATTCCCTGGAGTTTTCCCGGCTGAGTTGCCAGGATTACCTCCAGATAGAGATGTAGAATTTCAAATTGAAGTAATGCCAGAAACCGCTCCAATTGCAATAGAACCTTATCGGATGGCTCCGAAAGAATTGCAAGAGTTAAAGAATCAATTGCAAGAGTTGTTAGGAAAAGGATTTATTCGACCAAGTGTGTCACCTTGGGGAGCTCCAGTGTTATTTGTTAAGAAGAAGGATGGATCAATGCGTCTCTGTATTGATTATCGACAGCTTAATAAGGTGACCATCAAGAACAAGTATCCCCTTCCGCGCATTGATGACTTGTTTGATCAACTAAAAGGAGCTTCGGTATTTTCGAAGATCGATCTACGTTCGGGTTATCATCAATTGAAGATTCAGGAGAAATATATTCCGAAGACGGCTTTCAGAACGAGTTATGGTCATTATGAATTCATCGTAATGCCATTCGGAGTAACAAATGCATCAGCTGCTTTCATGGATCTCATGAACAGGATTTTTCAGCCCTATTTGGACCAGTTTATTGTTGTCTTTATTGATGACGTACTGGTTTACTCGAAGTCTATTGAAGAGCACAGCGCACATCTGAGGCTAGTTTTGCAAATTCTCAGGGATAAAAATCTCTATGCGAAATTGTCCAAATGTGAATTTTGGCTAAACGAAGTAATTTTCTTGGGGCATGTGATCTCGGCAGTTGGGATTAGAGTAGACCCCTCAGAAGGTTAAAGCTATAATGGACTGGGAAGTTCCAAATAATGTATCTGAAGTTCGGAGTTTCCTTGGACTTGCCGGTTATTATCGAAGATTCGTTAAGAATTTTTCGATGATAGTGCTGCCTTTAACAAAGATGATGAGAAAGA